CTGCAGCCTATGGACGTTGGAGAAGTCGGTGAAGGACTGTCTCCTGTGGGAAGGACCCCAGGCTGGAGCAGGGGCAGAGTGTGAGGATCCTCCCCTGAGGAGGAAGGACTGACCCCAACCCCCATTCCCAGTCCCACTCCCACTGCGCTGCTGGCAGGTAGGAGGTAGAGAAATGGGGTGCAAAGCTGAGCCTGGGAAGAAGAGAGGAGTGGGGGGAAGGTGTTTTTAAGAATTAGTTTTATTTCTCATTGTCCTACTCTGATTTGATTGGTAACAAACTAAATTGATTTTTCCCCAAGTCGAGTCTGTTTTGGCCATGATCCTACCCTGTCCTTGTCTGACCCGTGAGCCTTTCCTGACATTTTCTCCCACACAATCCCACTGGGGAAGGGGTGAATGAGCGACCGCATGGTGCTTAGTTGCCAGCTGGGCCTGAACCATGACCTAAGTTTATATAAACAATTATATTATGCTTAGTCTATACCATGTTAAGCAGATAGAACTAACACATCTTCTACAGGGGCCCATTAAAAAAAAAAATCTTAAGACCTGATTTGATGCTGGCAACTCAATCCAATTGCTCAATATCAACTGCTTTGATAAATACTTCCAGGCAATTAAATAATGGAATTATTTAAAAAGTATTGCTCACAAATGCTTCAATTCTCAAAATTAGAAGTTCAAGATTAGCACAAAACTGTTTTCATTTGCCCATATTCTTCTATAGTTAGGATGCCTGTTCTCTAATCAAAAATAGCATACAATCAATCAGGAGTCATACTCTAAAACAAGACTCAAAAGTTATGCCTGTGTCTTAATTAAAATTCTACTATCTGTAACAGTAACATTGTCAAAACATGAATTTGTAAAGCTTTATACCCCACAACATACCTGTTTCTTTTCCTGCGCAGCCCTTAAATCAAGCACAATATAGCCTATATTCTCTTTAGCTGATGATACAGTATCCAATGCAAAACACTGGAGTTTGATAGGCGTGCGCTGCAGCCTGGAAGAACAACTCAGTTGAAATCCAAAATATAAAAGTTATCTCTGCAATTAGTTCACAAATATAATTTCTAAGTTCCAAGTATAACAATAACACAAAAATGTATTAGAAAACTAGTTTTAGTAGGTCAAATACTGGGTTTATACTGAATGTCTAAAAATTCAGTATGAAGAGAAAGAACAAACAAGGTTCTGAGGAGAGACCTTATTGCACCTTCCA